AGGTAGGCCTCGCTCGCCTCCTGCAGCGCCATCACGGCCGAGCTCTGGAAGCGCAGGTCCGTCTTGAAGTCCTGCGCGATCTCGCGCACCAGCCGCTGGAAGGGCAGCTTGCGGATCAGCAGCTCCGTCGACTTCTGGTAGCGCCGGATCTCGCGCAGCGCCACCGTGCCGGGCCGGTAGCGGTGCGGCTTCTTCACGCCGCCCGTGGCCGGCGCGCTCTTGCGGGCCGCCTTGGTGGCCAGCTGCTTGCGCGGCGCCTTCCCGCCCGTCGACTTACGCGCCGTCTGCTTCGTGCGCGCCATGGCAGCTAGGCTCCTGCTCTCCCTACCAAGAAAGCTGCTCTGCCTGTAGCGGAGCACCGCTATTTATAGAGCCGCCTGCTCTGTGATTGGGCGACATGAAGCGCTCATCTCATTGGTCACATTGAAAATCCCGGCCAGCCCGCCGAGCAAGCCGGATACTCCCCTCGCCCCCCTTCCACCCACCCACTCCGAGCCACGTCCCGCCTCGGACCGGCTCACTGTTCTCTTTGCCTYCCCCCCCCACTTCTCTCTCCACGTAAATCATTCACATCTTTTCCTCATTCCTCCCCTTACCACTCTTCCGACAGATAAAAAGAGATGTTCTTTAAATTACAATTTTACTCTATTATACTTATTATAAAAAAAAATCATAAATGCTATCTCCAGTCTAGTAAATAATGGTTAGCGTATTTTGAGAAGGAATTTGCTCGTAAAATGAGACTTTTTTTTTCCGTTTAAGCAGCGAAGAAGGGCGTATGGACGTTAGTCAACACATATATTTTTTTTTCCCTCGTGTTAGAGTAGGCAAAAAGTAACGGTGCCCAGTTTAGGGATAGTGATTTTCAGTAGTTCTGTTTAGAGCCTAAAAGAAAAGGCTTTTACATTCCATTTCCCATAGCTGTTTATAAACAAATAAAGAGTAACATTTTAGAAATTTATTTTGGACTAGGCGACCTGAGAGATTTCCTTGCCAAACAGACTTCTGTGCCAAATTTTTGCTGCCCCTCACTGCCTTCAAAAAGGAAAAAGTTACGTATGGTCCGATATAAAYATCATCAAGAACATAATCTTCAACAGACAGAATACGTTTGTTCATCTTCTCATATTCAGTACAAGACACTCCTAAAAAGATATACCTTTCCATATACCTTTCTTTAAATCCGAAAAAATCAATTTTCACCCTTTCCACGAGAAYGGCATAATTTACACCCACTAATAAAAACAGTTCTCACAGTCCAGAGAAAAGTTTAATGACCAAGCTTTTCCTTACAGAATACTATAGAAAGTGACATATACACAATATACACATAGTTGGAGTGCAGACAGTGCATAAACATTACATTCACTTATTTAAGGTAAATTCTGGCATTAGTTATTTCAATGGAGATAAAACAGAACCAYATTAAACTATTCGTTATAAACAAAAACGTATTCAGCAACACAAAGCCCTTTCAGAGTCTAAGATGCTTGAAAATTCCACGTTTAGAAGCAGGATATAGCGTTCCAGCTCTTAAAAGTTMTGTGGGTGGCTCTTAAAAGAGCCTTTGGGTTCTCGAGTCGTTCGGTTTGAGAMGAGGCRCTTTAGCCGCCGAAGCCGTAGAGGGTGCGTCCCTGGCGCTTGAGCGCGTACACCACGTCCATGGCCGTGACCGTCTTGCGCTTGGCGTGCTCCGTGTAGGTGACGGCGTCGCGGATCACGTTCTCCAGGAAGACCTTGAGCACGCCGCGCGTCTCCTCGTAGATGAGCCCCGAGATGCGCTTCACGCCGCCGCGCCGCGCCAGCCGCCGGATGGCCGGCTTGGTGATGCCCTGGATGTTGTCGCGCAGCACCTTGCGGTGCCGCTTGGCGCCGCCCTTGCCGAGCCCCTTGCCGCCCTTGCCCCTGCCGGACATGCT